CAATAGAAACCACGTGTCTCTAAAGATCACTTGTCAATATAGAGCACATGACCCTCAAGACCACCTGTCAATAAAGACCACAAGACCCTCAAGACCACCTGTCAATAAAGATCTCCTGTCAAAAAATACCACATGACCCTCAAGACCATCTGTCAATAAAGACCACAAGACCCTCAAGACCACCTGTCAATAAAGATCTCCTGTCAAAAAATACCACATGACCCTCAAGACCATCTGTCAATAAAGACCACAAGACCCTCAAGACCACCTGTCAATAAAGATCACCTGACAAAAAAGACCACATGACACTTAAGACCACCTGTCAATAGAAACCACGTGTCTCTAAAGATCACTTGTCAATATAGAGCACATGGCCCTCAAGACCACCTGTCAATAAAGACCACAAGACCCCCAAGACCACCTGTCAATAAAGATCACCTGTCAAAAAATACCACATGCCCCTCAAGACCCCCTGTCAATAAAGACCACAAGACCCTCAAGACCGCCTGTCAATAAAGACCACAAGACCCTCAAGACCCCCTGTCAATAAAGACCACAAGACCCTCAAGACCACCTGTCAATAAAGATCACCTGTCAAAAAAGACCACATGACCCTTAAGACCACCTGTCAATAGAAACCACGAGTCTCAAAAGATCACTTGTCAATATAGAGCACAGGACCCTCAAGACCACCTGTCAATAGAAACCACGTGTCTCAAAAGATCACTTGTCAATATAGAGCCCATGACCCTCAAGACCACCTGTCAATAAAGATCACCTGTCAAAAAATACCACATGCCCCTCAAGACCCCCTGTCAATAAAGACCACATGACCCTCAAGACCACCTGTCAATAAAGATCACCTGACAAAAAAGACCACATGACCCTTAAGACCACCTGTCAATAGAAACCACGAGTCTCAAAAGATCACTTGTCAATATAGAGCACATGACCCTCAAGACGACCTGTCAATAGAAACCACGTGTCTCAAAAGATCACTTGTCAATATAGAGCCCATGACCCTCAAGACCACCTGTCAATAGAAACCACGTGTCTCAAAAGATCACTTGTCAATATAGAGCCCATGACCCTCAAGACCACCTGTCAATAAAGACCAAAAGACCCTCAAGACCACCTGTCAATAAAGATCACCTGACAAAAAAGACCACATGACCCTTAAGACCACCTGTCAATAGAAACCACGTGTCTCTAAAGATCACTTGTCAATATAGAGCACATGGCCCTCAAGACCACCTGTCAATAAAGATCACCTGTCAACAAATACCACATGACCCTCAAGACCACCTGTCAATAAAGACCACAAGACCCTCAAGATCACCTGTCAATAAAGACCATATGTCTCTAAATACAACTTGTCAAGAAAGACAACAAGTCTCTAGAGATCACCTGTCAATAAAGACCACCTGTCAGTGACGACCATGTCTCAAAAGATCACCTGTCAATAAAGACCACATGTATCTAAAGACCACCTGGCCCTCAAGACCACCTGTCAATGAAGACCATATATCTCTGATGATCCCCTGTCAATGGAGACCATATATCTCTGATGATCACCTGTCAATGGAGACCATTTATCTCTGATGATCACCTGTCAATGGATACCACTTGTCCCTGTCTCTAAAGACCAACTGTCAACTTGAAAGATCTATATAGACAGGTTTGACCTTAAAACATTTGTATAAAATGATTCTTCAAGTTCGAATTATTGGACTGAGATGACTTGGAAAGCTTTTTGTGTCACCTGCAACGTGAGGCGACATATAGATATTACTTTGTCATCGGCGGCGTCGGTTGCGGCGTCCGAAACAAGGTTTTCATGCGATAACTTGAGTTCCCTTGGGTTGATTGAACTCAAACTTGTTACACATATTGCATACCAATATAGCTCGGACACGTTTGCATTTCAAAAGTTTACGTGCATTTTTGGTGGAGTTTGCCCCTTTTATTGCCAAATAAGGGCATTGTGTAGTAAATGCAAGAACTTTTTTTATTTTCTAATCAATTACTTTCAAATATAATACATATTTTTCTGTCGAATTTCAACTTTCCGCGTTTTTGCTTATCTGTTTACGCGATAGTTCAAGCCAAAACACTTTTCTTACTAAAAGCGCTGAGCAGGCGACACGTACATCCACTCCCTTGGAATACTTGTATATTATAGCGTCAAAACTTAGTCTTAATCTATCTAATCATTTAATATGTCTGATCTGTCCATAGAAGTAAGACCTTAAACTCAAATGAAATTGTCCCAAAATTTAATGTTGACATAATGGTTTAATCTGTACAAGGTATTTGATATTGTTAGGTCATCTGTTAGTGATTTGGTAGAAATGGTCATCTTAAAGTCTAAATGGCTTCCAAATCACATAACTTATTAACCTGAGGAATATTCTCAACTTTCAAAATCAGTTTTATTTTAAGGGTTATGTTCCCTCGTCAAGAAAAAATCAATATAAAACCGTTTTTACTGCGTGTCATAACTGACAGAGGTGGTTTTAAATGTAATCTTCTAGGTTTTCTGATAGTACAATCAGTTGCCACTATTTTTAGAATAGCTGGTAAAATTTCCTGAAGTATCACATGTGTAGGCGTTTATGAAACCTCAAGGTACATGTTATTATTTTATATGTCCAGTGTGTAGGAGGTACCCGTGCTATAGAAATGAACCTGTTTGTCCATCATTCAGCTTGCCAATCCTTGTAAATCATGATGTACGTACGTCACTAAAACAGACTATCCTAAAACAGAAATTCCCAAAGACGTCATTCAGTTCACTAAATTCTACTTTCATTTTACTAACACAAAACAGTAACAGTTATTAGAAATATTGATTTAAAAATATCTTTGCAGGTATCTGGCAGTCAATAACTGTGACTGATGTTCCATCAACAGGTTTACCCTGAATATGCTTAATTCTGAGATGGACAAATTCTGTCTCCTCGGCCGATTACTTTGTGTATGTAGTGGTGGTTACAGTTAGGTATATACAGTAAGCAGTATACTAGTACTGGTAGCTATGGTAAATATAAGATGAAGGTACAGTGCACTCGGGCCTTCGATTCTTATACACAGAATTTCAAAATAAGCTTGTGGAAATTTTCAGTCAATCAGCCTATGAATTATGCTGAGGTGTGTGGATTATTGATACACAATGGGAATGTAGGTCAGGTGTACAGTTTGCTTATACATGGAAGTTTTAAATACACCAGCAGCTTGACTACACCTCAACACTGTACACTGACTTAATATCAGCAGTGCTTGAGTACTTGTCATTCTAACAGTGTGATACTACATGGGTAGATGTTATAGCTGATGTAAACAACATTCCAGAGAAGTGACTCCTCCCCTTGGGATGGTTAATGTCAGTCTCCTTCATACCATAGTCACCAGATTAAAATATATACTTATTGGATTCTCTCATTATTCTTTTGATGTAAAATGATCACTAAATGTTTCTGCATCAGTTAAAAAAAAATCTATTCGATATTGTTTATTTGTTGTACAAGGGATTATAGTCATGTTATATTACTCGTTTATAACATTGGATAGCTATATACCAGATATTTCACAATCATTTTGGAAATTTCCATCAAGAGATTTGAGCGTATTTTTCCATGACAGGGATAGAAGTGTATACTAGCTGCAGTCTTAGTTCAGTGTTTGATGGCGTAGGTCATTTTTAACAGGAATTACGAAATAACAACACAGACTCAAATTTCTAGAGAGGACACATCTTAAATGTTAAATATTCAAATATCTCAAAACAAATTTTGGATGAAAAATCTTATTTTAAGTTTGAAATAAACCTCACTGTATCCCTCTATTTTAAAATCAGTTTGTTAAGTAATAATGTTGGGTACATTAATTACAACTGATTTTATTATGTCTCGCTATCTGTAGAAGGTACTTAGACACACTGAATTTAACCTGTCTGTTGAAGTTATTCTTCTAGTAGTCACTTTTTGTTGGGACCATAACCATACTTGCCGACTGTTTTAAATTTTAAATTAATAAGGAGATTCTGCTTGCAAAAAATTAAAACTTGAATAAAGTGTGTGTATATATAACCCTAGGGACAAAATAAGCATTTAAAATGACATCTTCTGATTTGTTCTTTCGGGTGAAATCATTAGATGCTTAGGATATATGGAAAGTTTAGGAAATTCACTAGTTGAAAATAGTCAATTTGATGATCCAAAATCGAGTCTCCCTCCTAACTAGGGAAAGTTTGCATCTATGCATAACTCCTACAATTTTTATACCCGTGGACTTTCTCATGTCAGAATCAAAATTCCTGTACGCACCACCTGGTGGATAATAATTGAGTTGTCTAGTCTTGAAACTGTTTTAAGATTCTGTGGATCTGTGATCTCAAAGCAATGCTTCGACTTAACAAAATAGTGAATCGCAATCCAGCATAACAGTATATATATCCAATTAATAAATGTTGGAGGATGTGAAGGTCACTGTTATGTAACCGGAGAGGAAAAATATGATGTGTCATTGTAACCAGCATTTAAACTCAGAACCATTTAACTGTTGAGGGAGGCTTTAACAAACTAAACTGCAGCGTAACTGAATATCAACTCAGCCGAGGCACTTTCTTTAAAATTATACAGTATCGTTCTTTGAAGATCAATATTCTGTATAGCAACATTTTTTGCCAAATTAAAACTTTTGCCCTTTGCCAGTAAAATCCATATTCGACCAGTTTTGTTTGGCCCAATACATTTAATTACTATGTATATTATGTAGTTAATTATTACTCATGATCATCTTCGCTTTAATGATCAATTTGCCCTCATTAAGGCAAAAATTAAACTGCAGTGAAAATTTCCAAGTATACCCAATATTCACAACATTAAGGAAATGTAACTGTCAAGTTTCGTCCAAATATGTCTGTTACAGGCAGAAAAAATTCCAATACAATGAGTAATAATTCAGATTTTTATTGGAATTCTTTTTTTTTTGGAGTTGAATCTTAAATTTGTACAAAACATAAGAACACACAAAGAAAAAATAAATTAATACATTCATTTACAAAGCACAAAAGTTTCTTTATTTCCCTCAATGACCTGATAATATTGGGAAAAAATATACATATATACCCCTCTCATCAATACCTGAGTATAATTCAGTAAACTGTAAACAATCGTGAACATGATTTGTTCATCTGAACACGTTTGTTCACCAACAAACATCTCCACATAGCTTGTTTTCTTACCCTGATTCTTCAATATTTTCGAAAACATTTCGATGGAAGAAGCTTCAATTTTCACTTGAATGACATCTTGAAAAGGTAAAACAAAGTATATATATACAGTACCTGAAATCTCAAAATATGCTATTTAAATAAAGTTCAGAGTAATCAGAGAGCTTGAAAAAATATTCATAGGAAACATAAAAAAACATCAATAAAAATAAAACATGTAAAAATATATTATCATGAAAAAATCCTTCCTGAAATACAATTGAACTGTACATACACCAGGAAGGTAAGACAGAGTCCTTTAAAAAAAATGAACACATTTCATTACACTGTTTACAGTGTAAATAAGTTTCTTAAGATCTTTAGAAATCATCTTAAGCGTTTATAATTTTAAAGTCCTTCTACACAAATCAGACTTTTGATTATAAGACTCGGTGAATGATGATATAAGTTATAAACGTTGAAGCAGTATGATATTTTGAATGCGTGGGATTTGTAGCCTGGAGTCTAACTTTACGGTATATATATATATAACTAAGCATTTTGAATGCTATGACTTCATGATGTTAGGGTGAAATGTTTATATTGTTGATAAAAATTGACTTAAAGCTTTACTTGTAGCTATCATCTGACTAGACATTTTGGTGAAATCTGCCATGCAGAAACAAAAATTGGTTAAGTATGATAAACTGTAAGTTTTTTGTCCCAAGGAATTCTTCTCCACAAACATTGACAAGCATGATTGTTACCTCATTCACCCCTAAAGACACATTTGAACTCCTTCAATTCAAAGGTTGGAATAGTTCATTATTAAATTTCAGGGGCAAATGAATTAATGACTGTATCTGAATGTCTTTATTCCCAGGAATTTGTTTATTCAAATTCTTATTACACTAAGTTTAACTGAGGCACTGGCAAGCAAAATGAACTTTCTATTAAGAAAGAAAACATGACATACACACATCAATGCTGCCTTTTCATTGTATAAATATATGTTACTGTAAAATATATAAGAATATGTGTATGTCTGTATTGCTGCTGTTTTGTGAGTAACTTGTACATTATGCTGAACTCAAGAGTGACATCTGGAAGTGGTTAAGAACTACATATGTATATCAATATAAAACAAACAACAACAATGCTGTTCATAGATCATGAAGGAATACTTTTACAAATATAATAAAACGGCATTTTTTTTCACCCATTTACGATCCTAATTCTGGCTGTCAAAAAATAAACCAATAGAAACTGTCTGGTAAATGTACCATAATTTTGAACATTCTGTTGATTCTTTGAAATAAATGCAATGTCTTTTAAGACGCTCACAATATGTCATAGATCAATTGTGCGCTGTAAATAGATGTTAAGTGATGGTCAAAGCCGATGATGATGATGATTCATTTAAATAAATGCAGTATCTTTTAAGACATACACAATATGTCATAGATCAAATGTGCGCTGTAAATAGATGTTAAGTGATTGTCAAAGCCGATGATGATGATGATGATGATGATGATGATGATGATGATTCATTTAAATAAATGCAGTATCTTTTAAGACATACACAATATATAGTATATCAAATCATAATATCAAAATTCAAAGATGGAAGTGATGTTAAACCACAGCCAAATAACACCATCCGGTTAAAGTGGATATGTTTTTTTCTCAGTTTCATTTAAAAGTTTTTTGATTCAACAAGAAATCATATAAATAAAATATTCATATAGCCACCTGTCTTATATGACCAATATGCTATGTTCTGCAGGGTGTTGGAATAGAAATGTTTCACTACGACAAAAAATACATCAATTTGAAGCAAATTCAAGCATTTTTAAAGTGTTAGAAGATATTCTACTGAATTTAAGGAGATATACTCAGCCTGTTACTGAATAAAAAAAATGTCTTTGAATAACATTTTGAAATAAGCTGCTCACCAAGGTTATAATTTCTCCAAAATAAGCTGCTCACCAAATGTTTTGGGTTACTGCAGTGACATCAGTAGCCTTTTTAAAAGTAGGGTTCCAACCAAACGATAAATTTGGTTATACATTAGCAAATTGAAACAAATCTGTAAACATGAACTGAAATGTCTCTAATTTGTTTTTGGTTGGTTGAAGGGTTTTGCGCCTACATGAATCCGCTCTTACGGGTTTCATCTCACTGATGGAAGTCAGTGTTTTGTCGGCGTTTAATTTGTTTTGCTTATCCCAGGTATTTATAGATATAAAAATGCTACATTATGTAATTGTCTCTTCTGTACTAGCAGTGGTACATCTTGCGCTGCTTGACGGCCCTTTTTATCCTCTTGGAGTACGGTAGGACAATGTCCTTCTCAAAGCAATTTAACTCCCTAGTTTTGTCATCAGGGTTACTGGTGACAATGATCATTCTGGAGAAGTTTTTCTTACAGATCCACGGCAGGAGTATGTATCTGTGATGTATCTCAAACAGGCCAGTGAATATGTTCCTGCTTGGTCTGCGGATCACGTATTTCATGACTTGGTTGTCAAAGTTGACAACTTGACGCCTTACTTCTGCAACATATGCTGAAGAAAGAAAACAAATCACCATATTTTCTCTGTATGGTATGCACAAGAACCTGTCATATTATCTTTAACAGTCTTCATCTTTAAATTTATGTGTTTGATGATTCTATAGGGAAAAGCTGCCATCTTGGACTTTCATGTAAAAATGTTTAGCCCATTATCATCAGATAATTAAAATGGTAGATATGTGGCCATCTTGAATTTTAATAGATAAATTTTACTATTGCTATTTTTAATAAAAAAATACTTGTGGGATCTTTCTCAAATTTGATATATAGGTCCCCCTTGGTTTTTGGTTGTGCATGTTAATTTTAAGATTAGTTGGTGAAAACAAAATGGCCGACCGGTGGCCATCTTTGGTTATGACACTAAAAGTGCTTCTAAAGGCTACCTTTTATATATAACAATCCATTACAGTGAAACTCCTTGTAGTGTAATAGACAGAACTTGGATATGTTGAAAACATTGATCAAACAGGGTTCCTTACATCTGCCATTTACCGACCTGGATGTGTCCAACTGGGAGTATGATGTGATATGTGGGTTGATATTGTCAAAATGAAGTCATGTTGATAGAACAAAAGGGTCAGTACATAATGATATGGGGTAGGGTCCACTTTACGGGCTCACATTGATAATGTCATGAATGGGTCAATGATGTATAAATGAGGTCATGTTGATGATTTGATGAGGTTGTGTTAATGCTGTGATGAGGTCAGGTTAATGGTGTGATGAGGTTGGGTTGATGGTGTGATGAGGCCAGGCTGATGGTGTGATGAGGTTGGGTTGATGGTGTGATGAGGTCAGGCTGATGGTGTGATAAGGTCAGGTTGATGGTGTGATAAGGTCGTGTTGTTGTGTTGAGGTTGTGTTGAGGGTGTGCGAGGTCTGGTTGATAGTGTGATGCAGTTGGGCTGATGGTGTGAAGAGGTCGTGTGGATGGTGTTCAAGGTCGGCTTGATGGTGTGGTGATGAGGTCGGCTTGATGTATGATGTATAAATGAGGTCAGGCTGATGGTGTGATGAGGTTGGGTTGATGGTGTGATGAGGTCGTGTAACTGGTGTGATAAGGTCATGTAAATGCTGTGATGAGGTCAGGTTGATGGTGTGATAAGGTCAGGTTAATGGTGTGATAAGGTCAGGTTAATGGTGTGATATAAGGTCGGGTTGATGATGTGATAAGGTCTTGTTGTTGTTGTGTTGAGGTTGGGTTGAGGGTGTGATGAGGTCTGGTTGATGGTGTGATGAAGTCAGGTCGATGGTTTGATGAGGCTGGGTTAATGGTGTGACGAGGTCGTGTTGATGGTGTTGCAAATTTTGTTTGATGGTGTGGTGAGGTCGTGTAAGTGGTATGATGAGGTCGTGTAAATGGTGTGATAAGGTCATGTTAATGCTGTGATGAGGTCAGGTTGATGGTGTGATAAGGTCAGGTTAATGGTGTGATAAGGTCAGGTTGATGGTGTGATGAGGTTAGGTTGATGGTGTGATAAGGTCTGGTAGATGGTATGATGATTTGTTGCTGTTGTGTTGATGATGTGATGAGGTTGTGTTGATGATGTGATGAGATCTAGTTTATTGTGTGGTGAAGTCGGGTTGATGATGTGATAAGGTTGTTTTTATTGGTGTGATATGACAAGGTCATGTTGATGATGTGATGAGGTCGTGTTGATGGTGTAAAGAGGTCTAGTTGATGGTATGATAAGGTCTGGAAGATGGCGTGATAAGGTCTGGTCAATGGCATGATAAGGTCTGGTAGATGGCGTGATAAGGTCTGGTTGATGGTATGATAAGGTCTGGCAGATGGTGTGATAAGGTCTGGCAGATGGTGTGATAAGGTCTGGTAGATGGTGTGATGAGGTCATGTTGAGGTTTGATTGAGGGTATGATAAGGTCTTGTAGATTGTGTGATAAGGTCTTGTAGATGGTGTGTTGAGGTTGGATTGAGGGTGTGATAAGGTTTGTTGATGGTGTGATGAGGTCGTGTTGATGGTGTAAAGAGGTCTGGTTGATGGTATGATAAGGTCTGGTAGATGGCGTGATAAGGTCTGGTAGATGGTGTGATAAGGTCTGGTAGATGGTGTGATGAGGTCATGTTGAGGTTTGATTGAGGGTATGATAAGGTGTTGTAGATTGTGTGATAAGGTATTTTAGATGGTGTGTTGAGGTTGGATTGAGGGTGTGATAAGGTTTGTTGATGCGATGATAAGGTCTTGTAGATGGTGTGATGAGGTCATGTTGCTGTTGTGATGAGGTTTAGTTTATGGTGTGAAAAAGTCAGGTTGATGATGTGATAAGGTTGGGTTGATGGTGGGATGAGGTCTGGTTGATGGTGGTGTTGATGGTGTGATGAGGTCAAGGTCGTGTTGATGTTGTGATGAGGTCAATGTCGTGTTGATGGTGTGGTGAGTACGGGTTGATTGTGTGGTGTGATGAGGTCAAGGTCGTGTCGATGGTTTGACAAAGTTGGGTTGATGGTGTGATGAGGTTAGGTTTGATGGTGTGATGTGGTCAAGGTCGTGTTGAGGGTGTGACGAAGTTGGGTTGAAGCCGTACAGTCTTGATGTCAACTTGAATGTTTATACATATGTACACAACAAAATTTTCTTAATTAAAGGTTATGGCTATAAAATAATGAGTTCTGAAAATGAAATTAAAAATACCTTTTACTGGAACTGAAGGTTTATACACTGTGGTGAATGGTGTGAAGAAGTCAACTTACCAAGCTTTAATTTGCAGATTTCAGAATCAAATTCTCCATTATTGATTTTTTCAGCAACCATCCGTCTATTTTTGGAACAGAGAGTAGAACATTCGGAGTTTTGTTGAGGTGCTGGACACCTGAAATTCAAGAAAGTTTGTGATTGTTTGTGAATTTTTCCCCAATCACAAAAATAAGATAAACTAACTTGTTTTTATAAATATAATGTATAATGACTAGTTTCTCCTTCAAAATATGGTAACGAATATAAAGGACATACATATAAAGCCTTTTTCATTACAGCAGTTTTAGATGTTGTAATGACAATTCAGCAAAATGAAATCAGATTATTTAAGGATGGTTTGAATTTATTTCACCAAATTTCTTTTGAGAAAATTAAAACTCTGAAGTAGTTCTTACTCGGTGCCATTGAACACTTTTGAGCTGCAGCATCGTTGTGTTCTGTTGTCATAGACTTCAAAACCACAGCATCTTTTGCCCGTTTCTTTAGCTCCTCGAAACAGATTGTTGTAACAACACAGGTCAGAGTTGTCATCGTATTTATCATGTAAGCACCGTTTTGCCTTGACCTCAACCCTTCCCCGGACACACTGGTGTGTTTCAGACACGTAAGATTCTCCAGACCGGTTCCATGGGTTGTAACAACAGGCATCCTGGCCCCCTGATGTCTTCGCCACAGGAAATTCTTTTTTACAGCAGGTGTGAGTTTGTGTGGTAAGCCGGTGGACACCACAACATGTCTCCTGGTGACCAACACCCACACACTGCTCATGGTTTCCTAAAGTAAAAAGTGTCAGAATAAATTTCATGTTTAGTGTTAATTTAAAGATTTTGTGTACAGTAATGTAATTACGAAACCTTCAGGCTTACCATAATACCCCTCATTTCCTTTGCCATCTCACTTGTCAGCTTTTTGACACATTGTCGAAGCCCTATATGATATGTCAAAATAGTGCTTGGCAATATGGTGGCCGTATAACACTTAACTGTAGAATTCTGTTGCATATTTTGATAAAAGTGGGCGATAAATCAAATATGATATCTATAATCTTTCATGTTTTAAATTTTTCTACACATATTTCTTCTGTGTACTTTTACAAAGGACTTAAGTTGACCACTAAGTTTTTGATTGGGTGACTTACATATAAAAAATTGAATTGATATTCATTTTGATATATTTGGGTAAGAGAATTATCATATAAGATAGGATGCTGAAGTGCACTCACCACATCTTTTGTAATGGGTATATAAATATGGTTGTCCCCGACAACAGAATTGTGTATGAAAATTATAGAGACCATTTCCACAACAGTACTGGGCTTCTGTTGTGATTCTGTGTACATGGAATGTTGATGGATTCAAAGGGTTTCTACAACATCGTTGCTCAGATATGTCAATTCCTGAAACATAAGGTGATGTGGATATATGATGAATTGCATCTACAATATATCATTGTTACTCTCAAATATACAGAATGGGAACACATTTGCTGTATTGTTCAACAAACAGAGAATTTTGTTCTGCTCTTGTGTCAAACAGAACAAAACACGTTTGTTGTTGTGTCAAACAGAACAAAACACGTTTGTTGTTGTGTCAAACAGAATAAAACACGTTTGTTGTTGTGTCAAACAGAACAAAACACGTTTGTTGTTGTGTCAAACAGAACAAAACACATTTGTTGTTGGGTCAAACAGAACAAAACACGTTTGTTGTTGTGGCAAACAGAACAAAACACGTTTGTTGTTGTGTCAAACAGAACAAAATACGTTTGTTGTTGGGTCAAACAGAACAAAACATGTTAGTTGTTGTGTCAAACAGAACAAAACATGTTTGCTGTTGTGTCAAACAGAACAAAACACATTTTTGTTGAGTCAAACAGAACAAAACACATTTGTTGTTGTGTCAAACCAAACAAAACACATTTGTTGTTGGGTCAAACCAAACAAAACACATTTGTTGTTGGGTCAAACAGAACAAAACATGTTTACTGTTGTGTCAAACAGAACAAAACATGTTTATTGTTGTGTCAAGTAGAACAAAACACATTTGCTGTTGTGTCAAACAGAACAAAACATGTTTGGTGTTGTGTCAAACAGAACAAAACACATTTGTTGTTGGGTCAAACAGAACAAAACATGTTTGCTGTTGTGTCAAACAGAACAAAACATGTTTATTGTTGTGTCAAGTAGAACAAAACACATTTGTTGTTGTGTCAAACAGAACAAAACATGTTTGGTGTTGTGTCAAACAGAACAAAACACATTTGTTGTTGTGTCAAACAGAACAAAACATGTTTATTGTTCTGTCAAGTAGAACAAAACACATTTGTTGTTGTGTCAAACAGATCAAAACATGTTTGGTGTTGTGTCAAACAGAACAAAACACATTTGTTGTTGGCTCAAACAGAACAAAAAATGTTTGTTGTTGTGTCAAACAGAACAAAACATGTTTGCTGTTGTGTCAAACTGAACAAAACATGTTTATTGTTGTGTCAAGTAGAACTAAACACATTTGTTGTTGTGTCAAACAGAACTAAACATGTTTGGTGTTGTGTCAAACAGAACAAAACATGTTTGGTGTTGTGTCAAACAGAACAAAACATGTTTGGTGTTGTGTTAAACAGAACAAAACATGTTTGTTGTTGGGTCAAACAGAACATAACACATTTGTTGTTGGGTCAAACAGATCAAAACACACTTGTCGTTAGGTCAAACCAAACAAAACACATTTGTTGTTGTGTCAAACCAAACAAAACACATTTGTTGTTGTGTCAAACCAAACAAAACACATTTGTTGTTGGGTCAAACCAAACAAAACACATCTGTTGTTGGGTCAAACAGAACAAAACATGTTTATTGTTCTGTCAAGTAGAACAAAACACATTTGTTGTTGTGTCAAACCAAACAAAACACATTTGTTGTTGTGTCAAACAGATCAAAACATGTTTGGTGTTGTGTCAAACAGAACAAAACATGTTTATTGTTGTGTCAAGTAGAACTAAACACATTTGTTGTTGTGTCAAACAGAACAAAACACATTTGTTGTTGGGTCAAACAGAACAAAACACATTTGTTGTTGGGTCAAACAGATCAAAACACGCTTGTCGTTGGGTCAAACCAAACAAAACACATTTGTTGTTGGGTCAAACTGAACAAAACACGTTTGTTGTTGGGTCAAACAGAACAAAACACGTTTGTTGTTGTGTCAAACAGAACAAAACATGTTTGTTGTTGTGTCAAACAGAACAAAACATGTTTGTTGTTGTGTCAAACAGAACAAAACACGTTTGTTGTTGTGTCAAACAGAACAAAACATGTTTGTTATTGTGTCAAACAGAACAAAACATGTTTGTTGTTGTGTCAAACAGAACAAAACACGTTTGTTGTTGGGTCAAACAGAACAAAACACATTTGTTGTTGGGTCAAACAGATCAAAACACACTTGTCGTTAGGTCAAACCAAACAAAACACATTTGTTGTTGGGTCAAACCGAACAAAACACGTTTGTTGTTGGGTCAAACAGAACAAAACACATTTGTTGTTGGGTCAAACAGAATCTACCTGTTGGGTGATTTCCGCAGCATTGCCGACATTTAGATATAATGAGGGAGGTTTCATTACAACATTTCTGTGTCTCCTTATTCATGATCTCCGTTCCACAGCATTTAAACTGGTCCTTATGATGATGAGGATGAAGTTTGCCATTACAGCATGTGTTAATACGTGTGTCGTATCGTGTTCCACTACACAGGCTGTAGTATTGAGGCAATATAACGTAGTTATTGGGGTCTTTCTTATTGCATATGTGGCTCATTTGATTGAAGGCGGTTGTATTACAGCAGAACCAGTCAGAAGAACTGCCCTTTATGTTGTTAATGATGCTGTTACAACACATCTGTGTCTTTTCGTCTATCATCGCATTACCACAGCATCCCACAGTCCGGTTTGGGTACAGATCTAGATAAGAAAATCAGCTCATACAAGTACCTTCAGACCAATCTCAATGTTCTGATAGGAGTGAAAATAACTAGGTCACAGGTCAAGGTCATGGTATAAAGACTGAAATATGTCGCTTATTATTTATTTTAATCTCAACTAGAAAGTCAGCTGATTATTTTTCATACACTTGGCAATATTTTGATTAAAAGAAAATCTGCCTGGATTGTTATTCATGTAAATTGAGATTGTATACTTCCACTAACCAGGATTGTAGTGATGTAACAAAGGCTGAACCTTTGACTTGGTAATCAGAACTTGATGTGGACGGCAGCATAGTTTTCTCCGGTCTGATGTAGAGTAAACTTTAGCCCCGCAGCATTCACGTTGCTCCCCAAAACTATCTGTCTTGTTGTGTAGCTGACCCCCACAGCATATCATCTCCTCTGTATGTAAAACCTGCCTGTCTGGAATGAAAACCATTGTCTTGTCAAGTCACTGAGGTAACCTAGCATTTTATTATTCCTCATCGATTTTACAGCTTGTCTGATTGATTTAGACACATCACATGACAGGGCTACAAAACATTGGGTATCCCTCACGCGATCTATTTTCTCTGTCGAGTATCCCTCTCGGAACCCCTCACAAATTATCGGACAAGTTGTCTCTCTTTGTTAGACTCTCTAACGCCCGATGTGCTCCGGACGACACGGGAGATTCCACCTCCCAACAGCTGAAGAAGTTGAAGGGCTATAATTGTTGTTCAATTTGATGTAAAATCAAAACACTGACAATGATAGGTATTTGTAGTATATGCTACCAGACTTAATGAAGTAATCAGGTATCTCCAAATGTTAGTACATTTTATATACAAACAGTAAGGACACATAGCATGTAGATTTTGGATTGAACGGCATACGGCTTGGTCAAAATAAATTAACTTTGACCCATATCTACCAACCCCTGTTCAACTTTCTAGATAAATGGACAGTTTAAACAATAAAATAACGTTATTTTAATACAGCTGTATTTGATTTTAACAACATTGATATTCACTTACCTGATATCGAGTCTACACAGCAGCACTGCTTGCTATTTTTACTGTAGGCCTGATGGTTACAGCAGAACTCAGTCCATTGGTTCAGTGTTCGTCCCCCACATTTCTGGATAGAAAATGGAGTTTGGCAGGAGTCAGTTGCTACAACTGAAAAATTTCCACAATAATTTGATATCTTCTCTAATGTATTAACACATTGTTAATCAAATATTAATTTACTTCAAAGTTGTTTGTGATGCTGTGCGGCCTTTTAAGCTTGCTGCGGTGAAGGGTTATCAATTTTATTTATGTAAATGACCTTGACCTACTTTTAAAGTCACGGTTAAAATATGCATGTCCTTTGTGCTCCTCGTTTAACACTAACGCCATTTAATGGATAGCATGAAAGTTGGGAGACTTGGCCAGTTGTGATACTTATAGATTTGAGATGTGCTAAATCTGATATTCTTCCTCTTTAAATGAATTCTTTCAGTTGAAGGCATTATGGATTCATAGGATTGCATTATGCCATCAACAGAAAGAATTTATTTAACGAGAAAGAATATCAGATAGGTTCAGGGACTATCACATCTGTCAACATCACTTAAAGTTAAAGTTAGTTTCCAATACAGGATCCTACAGAGCTCCTGTGCGCGCTGGACTCAAAAATTAAACAATTGTATAATATAAAGTTAAAGTTCAGTGTTAATTACATTTGCCAGATAATTAAAATAACGTTCTTTATTCTGCCAAAAGTGTATCTATTCTGTTCTTAAAGTGTTGATATTTGGAGCAGTTACAACGTCCTCTGGAAGATTGTTCCAGGTTCGAATTGACTTTACTAAATGTGAAAAGATTTTCCCTCAGGGATGTTGTATGTGGACTAATAATGGGAATATCTTTTTCAAGTTTCCTCTCGTACTATTTCTGACTGATTCCTCACTCCAAAGCTTAACAAAAGTACATGTCTCTCTATCGTAAACTCTGTTTACAATCTTGTACATTTCTTATCATGTCCCCTCGAAGTCTCCTATATGCTAGTGTTGATAGGTTCAATTTCCTTAAACTTTTTAAAAGACTGGTGTTCTCAACAGAAATCAATAATAGCTTTACAAGATAAACAATAGTTGAAAAATCGTCACATGAAAAATAAAATCAGTGTAGATGTAGATTGTATATTAGACTCGATCTCATTAGGTTAATATGGGAGGTCATGCTTTCCATAATAACATACAACCAATAAATTACTGTTGTAAAATTGACTTCAGAAAATATTTGTCCGTGTAAATTTAAGTTGTATATGAGACTGTTGTTAGGTTGATATTGGAGCTAACTTTTTTTTTTAATTTACCAAAAAAATGTATTTCAAATATAATATACAATCAATAAATCTATAGATGTAAAATAGACATCAGACCATTTTTTCCTGGTACATGTAAATTGTTCATTGGAATATTGTCATGTTAATATCAGAGATCATTTATGTTTTAAATTTTTATAATAATATAATAATAGATCAATTTCAGCCAAGAATCATAATGTTAATTCATCATATGATCAGAAGTATGAATTTAAAAAAAGAAAACGGCATCAAGATATAACATAACCTTAATATAAAATTGTTAACTTACTGTATGTAAATAAAATGAAAAAGGAAATGATAAAGAGTGTCATCTCCTCTGTCCAAGAATTGAAATATGGATCTTAGTACAAGTGTGTCCGATATATGTTTTATGCATTAATTACTGGGGTTTTCTCATCTTCATTAAATATTTATTTAAAGAAATAAAAAACCATTCCTTATTATACTGGATTGGAAATAACTAATGAACTGATAAAAGCACACAAACAACCATGTCCAATAGAAATAGGTGGGAACTACAGTCTAAAAAAAGATTGTTTACAAACTATAGCTAGCTTCTGTAATCTGGGTAAGTCGTGTCACGGTAACATGGATATAAACTTCCTAAATCCAGACAAAGCACATGTTTTTATAAAATGAAGTCATTACACGTCATTTTGTGTGTGGACGTAAACAAACCAGTGTGTGGATGGAAACAAACCAATAGGAAATCTGGAGTGTATTCATGACATGATGTTTACAAAAAACGTTTGACCTACATACTAGACACCACTGAAATAACAAGGTAGTGATCTGTTGATCAACTTTCATTTCAAGTGCCTCGTAGTCCAATTAAGCTGTAACAAAAACATTTTCATATTTGGAGATTTTAGAAATGAAGATTTTGAAAAGTTAGGGTTTTTCGTTGGTAAGACGGTAATGTGTGGTGACTGTATGTGTAAGGTGTGTGTTTGGCACATAAACATTATGACTAAATTGATCATTATATGAGTTTGTTTACTCTGGATTATTACCTTCCATCCGTGGACTTTGCTGGGTATTTCCAGTTGGAATTCAGAATTGAGTTTAAACAATTTCACCACTTCCAGTGCCAGGTAGACACCTGGTCGGGAACGAAGTGTTTTGATAAAATCATTAGATTAACAATATAAGATCAGTGAAGCCTATAGTACCCGAGTGTTTAGCTGAGTCGTAAATGAAATGTTTAGCTGAAGTGTGTATATGTGTCGTAAACGTCATTTAATTCCTCTTGGTATTTCAACTGTCACAAGAGGGCAGAATTAACAAACGCTTGATGAGTTGTTTACAAAAATGTAAAAAATCTACATTTTGAGAAATATGTGAAAATTTACAGCACTCATCTTCAATGCTTTCTGTTCACAAGTGAATATATTGACTCTTATTACAATTTTAGCTGTGAGGCCACGCCAATTTAAAAAAATAGTTCTTTGGGAAATTTTGAAGGAAAAAAAACAGGAGCGTGAGGGTGGAATTTTTTTATTTTTTTATTTTTTTATTTTAGTAAATTTTGGTGTGAGCTGTAGTAAAATTTAACAATTATGGTTTTTAATACCTGAAAAGGTGTTAATTTGTTTTAACTGTACATATGTATGCATTGTGTTTCAAAATAGTTCACATCAGGCAAATTCAATTATGAGTGGAATGGTAAAACAAACCTCAGAATCCCTCCCACCTGACCCGCGACCAGAACAAATACAAGTTTTACCTATTCTATTCGTATCTGGCATCATCATAAAACATTTCCTTTCTTCTAATAAAATGTCCTTAAAGGTTCTATGTTATCATATTTGGAATACAGGTGTAACAGGAAAGAGAATAGTGTGGCTGTGCTTCCACCGGGGATCGAACCCTCAATCTCCAGGTTCCTAGTCGGACGCTCTACCACTGAGCTAAAGGGAAATTCCTTCTAGCTCGAAGCTAGAAGGCGTCCCTAATCCTATGTACAATTAAAACTTGCAACACAGGCCCCAATCCAATCAGAACTTTTATTTTATTTTAACTTTGTACTATATAAAACGGTGTGTAAAATTTCTAAAAATCTAAAGGTTTAAATGTTAACACCTGACTTTTTAGCTCACCTGGCCCGAAGCGCCAAGTGAGCTTATGCCATGTTAAAATCTTTAAATAACCAGAAGGCCCAGGATGATGATATTTGGCCATTAATATGCTGGGATGAAGCACTACGAAGTTTGTTCAAATGAATGACCTTCCCCTATATTCAAGGTCACAGGGGTCAAATATGTTGAAACTTTTAAATAACTTCTTCTGAATATTCAAGAGGCATAGGCTAATGACATTTGGCCAGTAACAGGCTGGTATGAAGGGCTACCAAATTTATTCAGATGAATTATCTTCATCTATTTTCAAGGTCACAGGGGTCAAATATGTTTAAAAACTTTAAAAAAACTTCTTCTCAAAAATAACCAGAAGGCCTTGGATGATGAATTTGGCCATTAACATGCTGGGATGAAGGGCTACCAAGTTTGTTCAAATGAACGACCTTTGCTCATATTCAAGGTCACTGAGATCAAATATGTTTAAATCTTTAAATGACTTGTTCTGAATATTCAAAGGGTCCAGGGTAATGATATTTAGCCAGAAATATGCAAGGACGGAAGGCTATAAACTTTCAAGGTCGCAGGCGTCATATGTTTACATCAGTTAATAGATTTAAATGGATCGAACACAGATATTTTGCCTGTATCTGTATATTAGTCCACTTTTAAGATTTCAAGTGTGAGATTAATACTAGGTGAGCGATTCAGGCCCATTGGGCTTCTTGCCCTTGTTTAGAATCAGAGGTGCTAGTTTCAAATACTTTTTTAGTCTTAAATCTGAAGGTTTGTTCGAATGAATGACCTTCCCCTATACTCAAGGTCACAGAGGTCAAATATGTTGAAACATTTAAACAATTTCTTCTAAATAACCAAAATGTCTAGGGTGTTGATATTTGGCCAGTAGCATGCTTGGATAAAGGGCTACCAAGTTTGTTGAAACAAATAACCTTCACTCATATTCAAGGTCACAGTGGTCTTTTGTCTTAAAAACCTTAAATCAACTCCTTTTGTATAACCAAAAGATCCAGGGTGATGATATTTGGCCAGTAGCATGCTGGGATGAAGGGCTATCAAGTTTGTTCGAATGAATGACCTTCTCCTATACTTAAGGTCACAGGGGTCAAATATGTTGAAACTTTTAAAATAATTTCTTCTAAATAACCAAAATGTCTAGGGTGTTGATATTTGGCCAGTAGCATGCTTGCATAAAGGGCTTTAATCGACTTCTTTTTTTAACCAAAATATCCAGGGTGATGATATTTGTCCAGAAGGATGTTGGTATGAAGGGCTACCAAGTTTGTTCAAACAAATGACCTTCACTCATATTCAAGGTCACAGGGGTCAATTGTCTTAAAAACCTTTAAACGACTTCTTCTGTATAACCAAAAGGTCCAGGATGATGATATTTGGCCAGAAGGATGTTGGTATGAAAGCTACCAAGTTTTGTTCAAACAAATGACCTTCACTCATATTCAAGGTCACAGGGGTCTTTTGTCTGAAAAACCTTAAATCAACTCCTTTTTTATAAGCAAAAGATCCTGGGTGATGATATTTGGCCAGAAGGATGTTGGTATGAAGGGTTACCAAGTTTGTTCAAACAAATGACCTTCACTCATATTCAAGGTCACATTGGTCTATTGTCTTAAAAACCTTAAATCGACTTCTTTTGTAGAACCAAAAGGTCCAGGGTGATTATATTTGGCCAGAAGGAAAGCGGCACGAAGGGCTACCAAGTTTGTTCAAATTAATGACTTTTGCCCATATTCAAGGTCACGGGTCAAATATGTTGAAATCTTTTAAACAACTTCTTCTAAATAACCAAGAGGTCTAGGGTGTTGATATTTAGCCAGTAGTATGCTGAGATGATGGACTACCAAGTTTGTTCAAATGAATGACCTTTGCCTATATTCAAGGTCACAGGGGTCAAATATGTTGAAATCTTTTAAACAACTTCTTCTAAAAAACCAAGAGGTCTAGGGTTTTGATATTTAGCCAGTAGTAGGCTGAGATGATGGACTACCAAGTTTTTTCAAATGAATGACCTTTGCCTATATTCAAGGTCACAGGGGTCAAATATGTTGACATTTTTTAATAACTTATTCTGAATAACCAGAAGGCCCAGGATGATGATATTTGGCCAGTAGCATGCTGGGATGAAAGGCTACCAAGTTTTTTTCAAATGAATGACCTTCGTCCATTCTCAAGGTCACAGGGGTCTATTGTCTTAAAAACCTTAAATCAACTTCTTTTGTATAACCAAAAGGTCCAGGGTGATGATATTTGGCTAGAAGGATGTTGGCAGGTAGGGCTACGAAGTTTGTTCAAATTAATGACTTTTGCCCATATTCAAGTTCACAGGGGTCAAATATGTTGAAATCTTTTAACGTCTTCTGATGAATTGACCTTGACACACTTTCATGGTCACATCTGGTCCATATTGCATAAATCTTTAAAAGTCATCTTCTCGATAAACAAAAGATATAAGGTTGTGATATTTGGCAAGTTGCATTCTGGAAGGAAGGGCTATGAAGTTTGTTCAACTTTAAATGTCCATGTTTGACTTTCAAGGTCACAGGGGTCAAATGTGTTTTAATCGTTTAACAGGTTCTTCTGAAGTCAAGACAGTGATATTTTGCCTGTAGCTTTATTTTAGTCCGCTTTTAAGGTTACAATTGTGAGATTAATACAAGGTGAGCGATGCAGGCCCATTGAGCCTCTTGTTGTAACAAGAAAGTTGGCATGAGCACAGAATCCATGCTTGAGCATGAGAATAGTTGCATGACTACGGCCCCAGGACTTTTATTATTCTGGACAATATTTTTGAAACCAGACTGTTTCAACCAAACAGGATTCTCTACTTCTAATTGAAGAATAATAAAAGACAAAGATATGTTAATTTTTTTAATGTATAGAAATCATTGTAAAAGACATATTTATATTGTTATTAGTATAAAGATGTTACCTACAGACCTAGTGAATCTGAATACATGGAAAGTGTTACAGCCAGTTTTGTTACATTCCTTGTGAACCTTACTGTAGAGTTACAGCCAGTTTGAGGTCATGCTAGAACAACGCCCTGTATTTTACACTGTGATAAAACCAGATGTTGTATTACCCTGTAGTCTAGTGGCGGATTTGTGACATTTCATTGTTTCATTTTTTCTGGGTGAAAAGGCAAATACCAAAAACACCAAATTCTTGTCCTTTCCTGACTTTTCGCTCCATAAAGACAAAAAGGAACAAATCTTGATTTCTTGTTCTTTTGTCTTTTTGCCCCGAAAAAAAAGAGAATTTAAAAACTTAAATTCTCTTCATTTTACCCCTAAAAGAGGAAACAAGATCTGGTCTTTTCGTAGCAAACAGATGAAACAACGAAATGACACCAATAAGCCATCATACAGCAGCCAAACCTCTCTTATTTCTGGAACACATCGGTTGTTATCAACTGATCAGATTAATGACACTAAGACTTTGACCTCGACGTCATTTTGTCTGCCTTTGTGGTTCAAGTCATTACTTGTTGGGAAGAAAATTGAACATCGATACAGGGTAATGATTTGAGTAATGTTTTGCAGAAAATATAAAGAAAAGTGTAGATACGTAATAAAATCAACACTTCACATGTTCATCTGACATCTCTGATTGCACTCATTTATTGCGCAACTTGAATGGCTGTGTGACATCCCCCGGGCTAAAGCCCTTGTATCAGCCCGCGTAAGGTCTATCCATACCGCACCGTACTTGTGCGGTCAGAGACTTCATATGAACACATACCTCATACACAGGCAATATCATACACGTTATATATTATGTCATGTTATACACCTATACTAGGTAATGGAAATACTGGCATAGAGAAGAGTTACTGGGACATCCAACATTCCTGGGTGATATACCATTCAACTACTTTACATCTCACACACACGTTCTCAGCATGTTACACAGACACTCCAAGGCTAAAGGATTTACTGGCATTCAAAGGGTACATTTAGAACTAAAATATTAAAAACTGAAATATTTGACCAAAAAAATACATAAGACAGGACAAAATTATGCATTTCATGCAAAATATTCTACTTCCCTCATGGTATTTTGTGAAATGATAGCACACACAAATGCAAAAGCTTGTATTTCTATAAATTAAATTGAATATAACTGTACTTCCTTTTTACATGTCTACGGTAACATGAAAATCATTCAAAACAAGAAAAACAAAATTGGTAAAAGCTGGATTTTTGTTTCCAAACAAAAAATAAGTTAATGAAGAGAATGAGAACAATATTCATGAATGATTAACAAAACATATGATAGCATTATTTCATTTACTACAAAATTCTACAAACGTTCTTCCTCAACATGAGTATAATTTCTTTAAAACATCAGGTAAATATTTCATGTGTCATGACCTCGCTGTCCTACTCCAAGTGCTATTTCAGGAATGTGGGTAAAGTCACTCTTTTTGAGTTGATATTTAGATGTTTAGACATGAAAATAATGTTTAAACATGTATTTATGTATCAATACTATGGTATTTGATGAAAGCAGTGCATTACATGCTTGCAAAAAAAAGTCAGAAGAAAATGAGAAGCTCTCACAGTTTACAAAAAAATATCCGATATATAGTATGGAAAATATTGGGTTCCTTCTTTGCTTCACATTTAAAATTTACCTTTCCTCAGGATTGTTGCCTGAACGTCATCTTTGCCAATTCTGTCAATTTATAAATAATACTGTTTATCAATGTTGCGAGTGATTTCATTGGCACGTACGCGATTACTAGTTATATTTGACCTATATTTTGTACAGTAGACTTTGAGCAAATGCCGTTAGCTAATTATAAGCTGCCATAATTTTAGTCTTAGGTTTAAATACCCTTGAGATTCCCTTTCTTTATGAATCATTTTATGTAATTATATTTGTATCATTCCCTTACTTTTATTGATAATTGATGTTTTACTTGTATATTATTGAGGGTAGTTTATGATTGATTAATAAACATTTCTGCCTCATAAATATTTTTGAAATTAATACAGTGCATAAAATTGAAGAGAAAAACAAGGATTCCTTTTTTCTTTTTGATCCAAATTTAGTGGGGGGTTTGTTGTTGTTTTTAAATTTTATATGCTTCAAAAATTTGGATAAAAAATCTATGTTAAATATTTATTAACTTTCATAAAATCTTGATTTTTTTTGTTTCTCAATTTTAACTTTAATGAAATCAAAAATTTCATCTACAACATCAGCGGTGACTAGACTAGTTGGAGTGTTGCATCGTTCCTTCCAGTATTTCATCAGTGTTTTTCTGATTTTGGCAGTATATGGTAAGATATAGTCACTGTCTGTTAGGTCTACTTGAGTGTCTCGTATCGATTTGTCAGTAATGACCACAATTTTTCGGCGGACTTCGGTTCTAGGTGCTCTATCACATACACATGTGGGATGAAACAGTTTCTTGACCCTAAACGAGTTCTGATTATGGTGGTAGAGTCTGTTTTTTTCACCCTCAAGTTGTATCCGTGTCACATCCCCAATATTGTTTTTCCTTCCAATCCTTGTGATGTATGCTGAAAAAAAACAGGAAAACATTTTATAAATAATGACAAATTTAACTGCAGTGGGACAGTACAATATCAAATGATTTGACCAAGGCAGCTGGTTGATAAAAGCTATAAACATAAAATGTTGGACTGGATAGGTTGATAGACTTTCTTGACATCTATAATTTAAGTGAGAAATTGATTGAGCCAATCACATGTAATAGCAAGTTGAGATGTCTAAAATAAGAGAAAGCATCGATTTCTATGAAATTTATCTTTTACATATATAACAGTAGGTATATAGTAAGGTTGGGGAAAAGTCTCAAAACAGTGTCAGTTATATTAATAGACAGGACATGGGTGAGGGTATGTGTGTGACAAGTGAGAGTGATAGAGGAAAAATAATTATATTTCTTGAGTGTGGCTAATATTTTGATATCTTTAACGAGAAGGGGCCGTGGTAGCAAAGTGGTTAAGGCGTCTGACATTCTGCTATTACTAGGCCAGCCTCCAGTGGGTCCCAAGTTAGAGACCTACGTGGGGCAGTCAACAGGTACTGGCCATCACGTTGTTTTTTCCCCGGAATTCACCACCACCAAAACCTGACACATCTTTAAATGACCATAGCTGTTAATAGGATGCAAAACACGAACAAACCAAACCAAATCTTTCAAGAGTCCAAAGTACGAGTGAGTGATATCAAAATATTAGCCACGTGAGTGGCTCAACTTGATTGTTGAGGCAAATGAGAGTGAAGGCGTTATTTGCAGAAGGAAATAAATTGAAAAAGAACTTCAGTCAACCTCGATATTTTAAACTTTGCATCAGGACAAATTCATAGAGATTTTGACTCACGAATGTTCAACTTCGTTTTTTATTTTTTTAAACATCTTTGACACATTAAGAAATGTAAATCTTTGAACTTTGATTGATGGCCAGTTTAGTTATTGTAACTTGTTGCTGTTCATCGCCAATGTGTAAACGTTTTCTTTGAACACCAAGAGGCGTAGGGTCATGATCACCAGATTACCAATAGCATGGTGGCAATGAATGACCTTGTATGACTAGAAGCTTGTGGAGGGAAGAAACAGGAATGGTAAAGAGTTTTGATGGTCAAAACTTTTTCTCAAGGGAAGAGGTTTGTGAACAGGAGAGGCTATCTATGGGGAGGGGGTGGGGTTATTCAGGGTATGCTTGTGAAAGGTCAAGGGAAAAACCAGCAAATTCAACTCACCATTTGTTTTACATATATCAATTTTGCCTATCCTGATTTGACGTCTAATCTTCTTATCTTCCTGCTCACAAAGCCATTCACAGATCGGATGTTCTGGTTTACGGCATCTGTAAGTGTAGCATAAATATTAATATACAGTAAATTAACGATATACATAGAAAATCAGGAACAAATTCTCTTTACATATCATTTTTATGAATTGTTCATAAGTAAATGACATTAAAAAAATCACCACCATTTGGCCTTTCACAATGAATTATAATGTCACAATTATTACATATGAACTGAAAGTTCATGTGTGTGGATCATGCAGGTTTGTAAAAGTCATCGATTGTCACATTGTACGATCTCGTTAAGCTGCCAAATCCAATCTTTATTCATAAATAAGAAAATCACCTATAACAGATTTAACATTTATGTTCAAGCTAAATCAGCAGTATAGCAATCATTCCAATAACTTGAAACCTAAGCAATAAATGGATAAATAAAACTCGATTTGACTTACTGGTTTGGATTTGTTGCCACTTTCGAGCCACAGCATGTTTGTTTACTGGGATTATATAGGTGTTTGCCACAGCACACTCTCCCAGACTGTTTGTGATAACGTTTACCGTGACAGCAGAGCTGGGTCGCGGTGTCAAAGCTTCTGTTTCCACATCGTTCATTAGGGCAGCTAAAATAACACAAGTGAAAATTGAAAATTGTGAAAGTTTTGCAAAATGTTCAATTGTAGAAATTCTTTTGAAATATCAGTTTTGTTTCTTATTTTTTTCCGTTATTTATATATATATATTTTAACCAAAAAATTAGAAACTCCTAGACTACAAAACATCTTGGAAAAGCATAAATCTTAATTACATGTATGTAACTTTTAAAAGACTTCTGGTTAAAGAGCAGACACTAGTTATCTCCATTTTCTCACCCTCAATACAATTATGTACCAGGTTTAAAGCCTAGACACTAGTTATCTCCCTTCATTACCCTAGTCCGTAGTACTCACTCACCTGGTGGAGTTGTAGACCCTACCGCGGACACAGCAGCTCTGTGTTGCTGGGTTAAAGACATTATATTGACAACATCTTTGACCAGCAGTTAAGCCACCACGATACAGTTTGTTGTTGCAACACAAATCAGTGTTTTTGTCAAAGTATGTCCTCCCACATTTTGGCTGGTTCAGTTTCCGGGTGACTGTTGGTTTGTGTCCTTGCCGACACTCCTCTGTCTGATCGGAGTAGGGAACGGCACTTGTACTGCCTTTGATGTAACTGGTACAACAGCTGTTGTCGGAGCTCTTTTTTTTCAAAGTTTGAAAGTAGTTGTAGTCGTAGTTAGTTCCAGCTTTACAGCAAACGTAGCGTTGGTTCAGTTTCTTCGAACCACAGCAGCTGTCCTGTATACCTACTGCACTACACTTGTTGTCTGAATCTGGAAATAGATGAACAAAAGCCCCAATGAAATAGAACTAATTGTTTCACATTTGTCAGCAGCGTCTTTGTCTTTTACTGACCCTGTGTTGTCCTTGAACCCAAATTGACCTTTACCTTGTACTGAAAGGTTACATGTCATCGAAGGTACACTGTAAACTTGAAAACTTTTGCCCTTCCCAGAATGGCTTGGTAGAACACATATGAGTCCACTGTAAAATTTGCCCTTCACGTGCAATTACTATATATATGGTATGCTAAGTGTACTAGTATTTGCTGTCATTATAAATTCACCCTAATTACTGAAGGCAAAAAAAGACGAAAATTACAACTACCGTAAAATATACAGGTATATACAGTACTGCACTTCACTGCCTTCAAACACGGTTCAATACCGTGTTTTTATAATGTTGTTATAGTCATGAGCAACTAGTTTATTGTATAAGCAGTAGGCTTATTCTAGGTAATAGAAAAATAAAAATGAAAGACATAAAATGTGATAGGAAAATGGAAATTTACACATCAAATTTGAAATTGATTGAGGTCATGTATGCTTTGGAAATTCAACCTTTTTTTTATAGAAAACAACAACATTGCAATGCTATTATTGATTATTATTAGCTCACCTGGTCCAAAGGACCAAGGTGAGCTTATGCCATATACCGTGGCGTCCGTCGTCTGTACGTCAACAATTTCTTTAAACGACTTCTTCTTCTTAACCACTGGTTGGAATTAAACTAAATTTGACTGGAAGCATCCCTAGGTGGTGGGGATTCAAAATTGTACAAATGGTGGGGCTGACCCCCCAGGGGGCTGAGGGGCGGGGCCAAAAGGGGGCAATTTGCCCATATTGCTTTAAGCAACTTCTCTGGAACTAAGAGGTGGATATCAACCATATTTGACTGGAAGCATCCCTAGGTGGTGGTGATTAAAAATTGTACAAATGGTGGGGCTGACTCCCCAGGGGGCTAAGGGGCGGGGCCAAAAGGGGGCAATTTGGCTATATTGCTACAAACGACTTCTTCTGTAGAACTGTGCACTGGATATCAATCATATTTGATCAAAAGCATTCCTGGGAGGCAGGGATTTAAAATTGTACAAATGGTG